AAAAACATTAGATGAACGAATATGAACGATGGATGGGCGAGTAACTTCGCATCATAGTGGTTCCGTTTTTACTTTTGCTTTTTTTCTTAAAAATCTATCAAATATATAAATAAGTATCTTATCACCTACATATTACGATTGAACTATATTTTTTGTATTTATTTGTTTTCGTGTATATGTTATTTGTGTATATTAGTCACACCTTATCTTCAATAATTGTAAAACGATCTTAATCCTTCATTTTACAAAGAATAGGGTAGTTCATTGTATTATGTACTAACAGGCACAATACAATGAACAGGACATGAAAAACCGATTTCAAACGTAATTAAGATAAATTATTATAACATACTACTCAGATCTTACTCAAAAAAGCACCAACTTGAAAAAAAAAAGAATTATGAAAATCAGTAGACGTACAAAAAAGTTATGAGACAACATGCGCAAAGCAAAATATAGTCGAGAAATCCTCTTTATCTGAAGTCGGGTGAAAAATCGATTAGAATTATAAAGTAACAACACAACTAGAAAAATAAATGGTTTGAAAAACTTTTTTTTTTATAAAATATATTATTACGATCTTCTTTTTGTAATCAGGTTTAATCCGCTGTTGGTATTTCTGTCATGGTTAAGGTTATTTTTTTTTTATAATAAACTGTTAGTTATACGATGTCTCTAAAACAGTAAACACGATAACTGAGTTTATCTATTAAGTACATATAAATAATAATAACCTAATTATACTTTAATCTCTATATGACTATTAGACGCATTAAATTTTCCAAGAATTGTACTGTCCTAAGTATTAACAATAAAATAACATTGTTATAAGCAAACAAATGTCTGCCAGCGACTTCACTTGAAGGATTGAACTTTAATAGTTGACTAAACTTGATGAATAGTACCTTACATTTAATATGGATGACAATGGAATGGTGCACCCGCCTGCACTAATGGTTTACGATGGAAAGATGAAGATGAGGTCAGATCAATTAGCGCATTGTGACAATTTCTGGTAAATTTGTCACGTTTTTCAGGGCAAACCGCGTGGTCAACCTGACATGGTACATAGCTTTTGTAAGTATGGATGGATATATATTATATATGTTTATTACTGTTCCAATCAAAAACTACTGAATGAATTTTGATGAAACTTTACAATAATATACCTTATACATCAGAATAACACATTGAATATAAATTTTACTCGAGTGTGCGGATGCCACATCTAGTCTTATATGATATATCACTTTCATGGTACCGTAGTCATATGACTAAAACGCAATCTTTATATATGTCATACATGTCAGACAGACAAACATGATTTACATACGTCATTCGTAGACATAGAACGACAACTGCAACTATAATGCAAACATGTGGGAGGGTGACCTACAGACTAATATACATACATATATATATATATATCGATACAAAACCAAATGTTGCAAAAATATAAACAACATATTATACATAGAAAACACCCAGACCGATAGAAACAATCATAACAATCATAAATGTTTGTACCGTGCCAGGGATCGAACTCGCGGCCATTGGAAGTAAGGCAGTGTGCTAAACCGCTAGACCATCAATGCCGTCAAATAGGTATAAAATTATACCCACCCTGATAACTTTGTACGGTCAATTTTCGTATGTAATATACAATACAAAGAAACCTTTCACGATAATTTCCTAGAAATTTTACTGAAAACCATATCAAAATGCGTTTCTTAGGATGTATCAATGTCTATATAAGTAGTAAAAAAGAGTGGCTTATCTATTCAGTATAAAGTTAAATATAAACACATTTTGAGTTTTATATCAGTTAAAAAAAGATTTATAAAAGACTAGCTGTGCCCGAGGTTTCACCTGCGTTAAATTTCAATAAAAAGTATTGCTTATATACTGTAAAGTTTCAAAAACCGTTCAGTAGTTTTTGCGTGAAAGAGTAACAAACATTCATACTCACAAATTTTCCCGTTTATAATATTATTAAGAAGTTCTTTGACCCAACAAGCTTAAACAAAATCTTTCACGTACCAAATAAGCAGGCTCCTTTGCCTCCTTTTAAAGAAAAAAAACAGTGTCCAACAAGCAACCATACTAGAAAGTGGTTGTGAGACTACAACCATAGAATGACGAGAACTACATCTAGCTGACACCGTGAACTCCCTTCCGCCTCAAAATGCAATATGTCAAATGTTATTGAAGTTTAGATACGCAATAAATTTCTGAACGCACCCTGTTTGACAGGTATCAGAAGTTTATATAGAAAAATTACTAATTACTATTTTATAAGGAATTTCTTCATATTTATTTTATCACCGTTTAAACCTTTGAACTTCCACGAATATTTCAAGTCTAAAGATAGCGAAATCCGTCCAGCTGTTCTAGAGTTTTAGCGAGACTAACGAACAGTAATTCATTTTTATATATATTATATATAGAAGATAGATTAAGATGTTTCTTTGACCCAACAAGCTTAAACAAATCCTTCACTTATCAAATAAGCAAAATCCTTTGCCTCCTTTTAAAGAAAAAAAAAAACAGTGTCCAACCAGAGACTTTTTTTTCCCATATTCGTCCATCTCCTTTTCAGTGATGGAACAGGCAAAGATCCTTAGACCGTACAGCCTAGTCTACTTTTAAACTTCTTCATATTTGAACAAGTGATGAGACTATAATACAAAGTGGTTATGAGACTACAACCATAGAGTGGCGAGAACTACAACTAGACTAGTATCAAAGACTGACCTTATTAGAGATCAAACTCCGACTATTAGTAAACAAAACAACACCTGATTCAATATAATCTATACATATAAATAAAATCTAAGTGTCTGTTTGTAACATTGAAATAACCGTTTTTTACTACATGCATATTAATATACATACGGTACATACACAAAAATAACAATTTTTTTTCCGGCTAATCTCTGAAATGGCTGGACCGATTTTGACGGGACTTTATTGGCAGGTAGCTGATGTAATAAGGAGTAACTTAGGCTACTTTTATTTTAGAAAAATTACGAAGTCGCGGGTGCAGCTAGTACTAGCTATATGCGTAAAATCGTATGTCCTGACTATCCACGTACAGCTATAACTGTCAAGATGCATTTGTACATAGGATTTTTATAACAAACTATAATATAAGCATTTGCTAAAAAGGAGTCGCACAGATAAACTCATGGTAAACAGCTAGTATATAAGTTTTATTAACAACATTTATTAAAAGAACAACACGCAATTTCTTTCGCATTCTCCTTGTGATGAGTTTTCGTTCCGAATCACTGGTAGTTTCAAAAAATATAAATATTCAGAAGGCAATTCGGTCGAGCCGTTTCAGAGATTAGCAAGAATAAACAGACGGTTTTTTTTTCTGTAAGTAACGTATGTACATACGTTCACATGCATTTAGTATAAAGCTGTTACCTACTTAGAAATTATAAACAGACAGATCAATTTTATTTATTTGTTATTACTTATTATTATTACATTTTTTGTATAATTTATTTGTATAATTAATACAAATAATCAAGCTTATTAATGCAAATGTTTATACCGGGGTAGGAATCGAACCTGTGACCATAGTAAGTTGTAAGTAAGACGGTGTGCTAAACCGCTAGACCACCGAGGTCGTCGATCGTCCGTTATGGCTCTATAACCTGTACTTTCCATTTACTATGTGGTGAGCAGTCACCTTGTTTGTCATTGGAGTTACATAAAAAAAATTAACGACCACGATGATTAAGAAATTAGTATAAAATTTTCCTCGTACACTGCTTTGTTATTTCCTTATACTATGACATCTTGGAGAAAAGTAATGGTCACATTTTTTTTAATAAACACCAATTGTTTATTTAAAAAAAAGTAACCTGTGAATTTTTCACATAAATCTTAGATTGTACAAAATGAAGTCGCTTCCGTTGTCTGTTCGCAAAGATCTTTTAAACTACGCAACGGATTTTAATGCAGTTTTTAGCAATAGATAGAGTGATTCAAACGGAAGGTTTGTGTATAATACATGTACACCCGCGCGAAACCAGGGCGGGTAGCTAGTATATTATAAAACATAACATTGTTATAAAAAAATGTGATCAATGATGGTATGTAATATATGTAATTAAATACTGAATAAATATTTTTAAAAAGTTATATAGATAAACTTAATGATTAATAATTTACGTCACTAGAATTACGTGATTTTTGAAAATTGCTAATAGGTAAAATAATACATAATTATTTAAATTACTTTCTAACTTATATAAAATTCGGTCGCTTTTTAGTAATGGTCCTTAATATAAGGTAAGCAATTTTGGGTCAATTGGATATAACCATATATATAAAATAAATTAAAAAATAAATAGAAAGTGAACGATTCTTTGCAAGCCACCAGGAAATCTCCTAATCATCAACAAGTGAAACTGATTAGTATTTTAATTTATGTAGATATTTTCACGAGATTTTAACAACTTCTTTATTAATATCTACATCTACTAAAGAATAGAATAATTATATAAAATTTTATTAAATAAAAAAATGTATGTATTATAATTTCTAATCATTATTTAATTTATTTATTTATTAAGTCTAACTCCTTTTAAATGTGTCTTATAAATTACAATATTCACAAAGTATAGTAACATCGTAAATATTGAAATTTATAACTATACTTTATTTTGTTATATTTCATAATCTGGAGAAAAAATACGAACATTATAAAATGAATTTTAATTTAATAATCACTAATTTAACATATTTATTTTATACACATATCGACAAGTTTTTAATAAATAATAGTTTAATACTGTAGTAAAGACAAAATTTTATAAATAATAATTTAATACTGTAGTAAAGACAAAATTTTATAAATAATAATTTAATACTGTAGTTTTACAAAAACAATTTGTAATGATTAATTAAATATAATTTTTGAAATAAAGAACTTAAGTATACCTTAGAAATTACACAAAAAATAAAAATTAAAAAACAAAAATTACCTTCACTATCCATCATAGATTTTCCTAAGTAAAACTTTTCCTAAGTATTCGAAACACTGGCCTCATAAAAAAAACGAATGCCCGCCAAATTTCAATTTCAAATCACGGAACACGCGTTTTCGCGCGTAAACAAACAGTTGTACTGGCGGAGGCGCGGCACTGGCCGGTTCTCAGCTCACGTTATCAATGTTGAAACTGTGTTGACGTGGAAATGGTATGTTATTACCCCGCCTACAGTCCTTGCAACGAAAATTTGTACGAACCGACTTAGTTATTAGATACCAACGATCCACCCGACTTCACACGGGTGTCCTTTTGTAGTTTGTATTATATATACACATAATTCAAATGCTACAATATAACAACAATTTTAAAAAATTTTAAATAGATACCTACTATACGAAGTAAAACAACCGATGTTAATGTAATATTATAAATGACATATGAATATTTTTACTTCGAAAACTATAACACTATATCCTATAAAGGATAATATTTTAATAAACTCTCGTGTTACTCATATAATACATGATTTTTTAGATTTTTTATAGGTTGGTTTTTTTTTTAATGAATGATAATGGAAAGGTCAGCCGTCTGCGCTGACGGTTTAGGCAGGCGGGACATCAGTGGAGGATGAAAAGATGAGAATGAGGTCAGGTCAGTTTGTCCATAGTGATTAAATAACCAGGAATTAACCACGATAATTTAAATGACAAGGGGAACCGCGGGGAAGTTGACCTAACATGGTATATTACTAGCAATGGGGACACTAGACCCCATTACTAACAATCCCCTTCCCCCTCAGGTTGGTACTATTGCTCTCATGTTACTCCTATACATGATGATTATTTTTTTAGGTTGGTACTATTGAATTTTGACCTATACCAACATCCCAATTAAACATGTATATATGTACTTTCGTTCGCGTCAATGTCCATCGCGACGACCGTATTTTACGTCATCACCATAATCATTCATTGATAATATTTCGATAGTAAAACCGTGCTCGCCCCCACCATATGATTGGGACATACTATAAATAAGTTGGATATTGGAAGCTTTTATATCTATCGTTGAGGACAAGTATAGTTTAGAATTGCATGACATATGAGATAGTGACGCATATAATATTTATATACAGTTACAAATAATAAAATTTGACTGGATTTGCTTTTATAAGATTAACCTTAAAAAATGTGAACCTAAACCTAAACACGGTTTAGAGTTTATAATAGCTAAATTAAGTTGAATGAATAATGAATTGAATGGAAAAAATATCTTACACTGTACATACTACACAAAAACTGTTTTCTTATGTATTCCTAACATAGCTTACTATTTGTGAAAGATTTTTAATTTAAGTAACTATTTTTAAGTTTATCCATTCTGTCGATCATCAACAATTTGTTCTTCTAAACTACGCAACAGATTTTAATGCAGTTTTTAGCAACAGATAGTGACTCAAAAGAAAGGTTTAATATGTATAATACATGTACCGTGCGCAGCCGGGGCGAGTAGCTAGTTATAAGTAATATGCGTTAAGACAGAGACAATATATTCTAAAATGTAGTCTCTGGTTAAGACAAAGTATTATAACGCGAAGGTCCCCTAGTATCCATGCACGGATGGCGCAATAAAGGTCGAAGGTCGAGATGAGACAATGTATGCATTTGCACTAAGACTGCGTATATCCGGATATAGGGTTGTATCAAAATATATAAATATTAAAGAAATATATTTTTATGTAACTGTCAAACAAGATGAAGTGTCAACAATTTTATATAAATGAGCAGTACCTCAGATATCACGAAATCGTGTGACGGCTCACGTGGTAGCCCTCATGTTTTGCCATATTGGAAGACTCAGATGTCATATCTACGCACACTGTAATTTTACTGCCATATCTCCCCTTTCAAACCGAAAAAGCTTGGACAAGAAAGAATTTAATCTTAAAAATTTTTAAATGGCGAGCATTTCTGACGGCCTTGATGGTCGCACATCGCTTTACTTCTGATGGTCACGAGTCCGATTCCTCGCACCGTTAAAGATTTGTGTTCATGAGTATAATTGTTTGCATTAGTCTGGGTATTTTCTTAAGTATGTATTTACTAAAAAAAAGTATATAAGTATAACAGTTGTCTAGTGCCCATAACACATGCTCTGCTTATCATAGGTTATGTGAACTGTCCAGAGGTATTAGAATAGAATAGAAAATAAACTTACATTGAAGCACTTTTGAATATTCATAACATTTTTTTCTTTCTACCGCTCATTCGGAAAGTTGTCTCATCACAAAAAGAATGACCAAGAAACGTGCGTGTTGCTCTTTAAAATAATTTTGTTGTTACATTTTTAAGTTGATGTGTGTGAATACAAACTTTGAACTAGCACGAATTCAATTAAATACTCAAATAGAGAAAATATTAAATATACAACCAACTGGTTGAGAACTATATGATAGTGAATTAGTCGAAGTGCAGACCAGTTCATACAAGCACGTATGTCGTTCACGAGTACGACTGTATTAAAAACATATATAGGTACAGTTTAATAAATTGATCTGGGTGTTTTCTATGTATATTATGTATATATTTACAAAATTGTATATACGTATATATAACATATGCTCTGTTTAGCATGGTTTTATGAATTGTACAGGGTTATGAAAAACATATATATATGTTTTAATAATATATTACCTATTTTATGTATAGCCTCAAACAGCTTCCTCCATAATAATTTGAAATTCTTCATAATGCACTTTTAATACATTCACAAACTACACTAACAAGAACGGCCAACGAATATGATAATACTAATCACCTGATGTTTGGCTAAAATCAGTCATAGTTATTGTATAAAAGGTTAAATGAGGATATAAATAGATGTATGTAGTATTGAATGGGATGGCACGTTGCGTGATGCGTCTTGCGTGACAAATTGACTCATTATTTACTAGCTGAAGCGAGATCATTAATAAATTAACCTAAGCAACCACTACCAATTTACACAGCGCCATCTAGTACTAAACTTAGCAGAGCTTATACTGATCAATTGATAGATATACTTAAATATAAACTTATAAATAAATAAATAGACTTGTGGGGGCTAGTCTGTTCTGATAACTATGACTGATTTTTTGTTATACAAGTAACTATTATACATTTACTTCTGTCAATCTTGCTATTTGGTAGTTTGTATTCATACAAAATCCTAAATATATGAACAATATTTATTTAAAATAACAACACGCAAGTATGTATTTTAATGTATTACAAAAAAAATATTCAGGGTATCAGTAACTCATTGCACATATTTTAGAAGGATGGAGTTTTTCAACCTAAATACCACACAAGGGAAAATAGTTTGGGAATAGTACTCTCGGGTGCCGATCCTATTTAATATTTTTATTTTTGTTTTTTAATGCAGGTTATTGAAATGGTAAACAAACTGACGCATGACGACCCCCTGATAAGTAGTAATAGATAACCATCGCCTACAAGAATAACACTACCCATGTGTTGCCATTCCGGAGGATATATAATATACATTTATATCACCATATTCACATATATATTCAAAAGTGCGTGTATTAAGTTTATTTTAATAAAGATTATTGATATTTTTATTTAGGTAATTTAATACAAAATATATATGTATTGATACATAAGGTAATAAGGTAATAAAAAAATATTACCAACAAATTAATTATTATTCTTTAGTTAATGTTTGTATAATTATAATGACCACATTGTCCTATAAATTGAATGATGTTTCCTGTCGCAAATAGTTCCATGAAATAACTTTTTATTACTAACAGTAGGATAAAAATAAAACACAGCTTATCTAAGCATATTTAAAAGAGAAACGTACAAATTTTTGGTGGTTCTTTTTGTGAAGAGACAGCTTTCGGAATGAGCAGTAGATAAGTATAAGATAAAAAACTATATGACCATTCAAAAGTGCTAAAATTTAAGATTTTTTTATTCTATTCTGAAAAAGTTAAGTGCTTAAATTTAAGTTAATTTGAATAAAGAATTTTCTACTTATAATTTACACGTATAATTCCCTGTCTTACAACAAACTTACTAAGGTTCATTTTTAAATAGGTCATCTGATCCTAGACTATGCTTAATTTTCATAAAATTTGAGATATTGTGTCGCCTATATCCATTTGTCTGTGATTTGCTACTTGTCTATGCCCTTTTGATTACGGGAATCAGCCCACCAAATTATTCAGTAAACAACATATCCAAATTGGTTAGAAGCCTTACTATTGTAGCATCGTATTCATTTCGGGGGTAACGAAATTTTGATTAGACTGATGCCAACCGGGCCAACTGAGGCCTAATTTTTTTTTTATAATGAGATGGTGTATGTAGTACCTGGCTGCTCCAACGGTATAGGCAGGATGATGCCCATCCAGAGCATCGTCCTACGTATGACCAGAGACTACATAGTAAGGTCAGGTGGCCCATCGTAGTGAATTCATTAGAAATTAACTTCAATGATTTCTAGAGGGATTGCGTGGAGGTCGAGGATGATCCATTTAAGGCCAATTATTTATTTAAAATAAGATGTAGTTATTTTTTTAGAAAAATCTTCTTCAAAGAGCATGGCCTTCTAGGAGCACTATCAAAATTTATTCGTGGTGTTTGGGTTCGAATCCGAAATTGCAGTATTATACCACTAAACCATGTAGGCTGAGTATCTGCATTTATCAATTGTGACTTAATACATAAACGTAACGTATCTAGTTATTTACGATCGATATCGGATCAGGTATAAAATGGATTAAATGAATTATGTTAACGATAATAAATACATAATGTAGCAATAAACCGTTGTACGAACTACTAGTTAGGAATGTTTAAAAAACATCAATGTTTTAACATTGTTATCAAGTATTCAATGTTAATAATCTGGACATTTATTGGCGATATTATTAACATGGATAGTTGGCGATCGACCATCACCTTATGTATTTTTTTTTGTTTTTTAATTATATTTATTATATTATTATTA